TGAAATAAGACTTAAGTATAAGTATAATAAGACTTAAGTATATGTAGAAATTTATTTATTCAGAACTCTAATGAGCCTTAAGCATGTTCAAGAAATAGACATAAGTATAGTACAATAATTAACTAATATAGTTCAGGCTTAATTGTCTCAGTGCACGGTAGAAGCAAGATAAAATTTAACGGAACAGCTTGTATGTATAGTGACAAATATATATAGTGAAGCATAACTGCATTGGATGATGATAGTCGCTAATTTTAAAGGTTTTCAGATATCACAAAACAAAGGTAAAGTTTTCCAATTAATGAATTTTGTGAAGGAAGCAGTAATAAATGAAAATGATATAAAAGAAGTTTTTTCATTGTGATGACAATGCTTCTCAATGTCACGATTTCATATTTTTAATTTGATAATTTCTACATGCCATCTTATTAGATTGGTTCCCAGACAAAAGCCCAGATTCACTGGACGAAAGCGCACGCGACAAAAGCCCACAAAGAAAAGCCCACTATGATAATTGCCCATGCAACAAATGAACACAGCGATGAAAGTGCACATTGATAAAAGCCCACACTGATAAAAGCCCACATTGATAAAAGCACACACTGATAAATGCGCACATAATCAAAAGGGACTTATGGTTTTTATTACTATAAAATGTATTTATAATTTAATTATAATAAATGGAGTATTCAGATCTGAATTTTAACGTCTCAACTATATGTCTGTTTGTATATTTTATCACTACTTTATTTGTTTAATTTATTAGGTTGAAAGCAAACTTTCTGCTCTCTGATTGATTAGCTATAACATTTCGATGATAAATCTGAAATTGCATTTTATTATTTATTTACTTATTTAACTTTGGTATAGGTATGTGAAAATGAAAAATATCATTGTGAAGTTTCTCACGTGTTATTTTTAAGGTAATATGGCTGAGATTAAATATAGTTATGTTTCATTATTAAAACTATTAACTTTTAAATTAAAAAACACTTGAATTTTATTTTCTTCCTTTTTAGTTTTTCCTTTAGTTCCTTTTTAGTTTGGTAATATTAAAACACTTAAGCACAATGAAAACTTCGCTAAGAGGTATTTTATTCTTTACTTTTTACTGAGCTTATTATCAAAGTTTAAACATATATCTTATTGAAAGCTTTTTTCAGTGTAACAATTATAATTTGGTGATTTTGTAGAAATATTTTCTTTCAGATTTCTGAATAAATTAAAACTGTCAGCTGACACCCTGTCAGAAAAAGAATTCCAAGTGTAACCTCTTAATCTTTCAACTACATCAATTTGGAATAGTGTTTTTAATTTTCATTTTATTTATTTTTGGGGGGGGGCATGGAACAACTCTTAGAAATCAACATGTCTACAAATTTAAGTAGAACAATCATCTCAATCTTTAGTAATAAATATGTAGCATTTCATTAGAGTTTGTGAAGATTACAAAGAATTATGCATATAATAACATCTAATAAAATTTTGTAACTACATGAATATATATAGTCATCAAACTCAAAGTTCATCGTTTTTAGATGATAAGTATACATATTATATAAATTAATTATAAGTGTGGCCAATATTCCCTTTCACTTCCCTTTGTCGGACTTATAATAGGAGGGCACTTCCATTTGTCGCGTAAATATAAAAACAAAGTTAACATACATGTATATGTTTATAATTACATTATTTTGATTGACTCTCTAAATTCAGCCGGAGTCCAAAATGAAATGTGCTCCTCTACTTAAATTTATTGTTCAATTATTTGTTATTAATTTAATTTATTCTTTATTTTATCTTTATTCATGAATCTACTTTTTGCAGCTGAAAAAAGAGAAAAAAATATTCATTTTAATGTAGCTTATATATCGGTGTGGGTTTTTGTCAGTGTAGGCTTTTATCAATGTGGACTTTTATCTCTGTGGGCTTTTATCAATGTGTGCTTTCATCGGTGTGGGTATTATTTGCGTGGGCAATTATCCCAGTGGGGTCTTTTTTGTGGGCTTTTGTCGCATGTGCTTTCGTCCAGTGGGCTTTTGTCTGGTCACCTATTAGATTTAAACTGATGATCTAATATCTGGAAAAATCCCAAATCCGGAATCGTTGAAGTCCCGACGAGTCCGGATTTCAAACTTTGTACCATACTAATTTCTTTTATTATATAAAAGTTATACTTTAACATTATTGGGAGGAAACCATTTGAGAACTTTTATTAAGATTTCAAATTTTGATGTAAAATAATGACAGTGAGAAGCATTGTATTTTAACTGCTTGCCTGATTATCCCGAGTTATCTCGTGCTCGTATATATTGCAGCTAATTATTATCTCGAGAAAACTCGGGTGAAGCAGAATTTGTCAGTACGATTTGTTTTATCAGGGTTTTACTCGGCCTGGAGGAAATGAAAGGAAATATTCAGCTTTAACTGACAGTTTGCCAAGTTTTATTAGTTTTTGCAGTTCTTTTGGCGGGATTGGTCACGCGTTTCACTATCATATAGTATACGACGACTTGTGGGTTAGTAATGGACAAAAAAGGATAGTTGCGTTGAAAAAAGTAAAATAATGGCGCTGATGCAAGATAACGAAAGCAATGATTTTTCAGATAGTGATTATGAAGAGGTGGACATTGAAAATAGTGGAAGTCATTCTTCTGTATGTAGCCTTATTGAAGACGACAGTTCAAGTGATTTGGATTCAAATGACTTGCCAGCAGCTCGCCAATGGTGTACAATTCAAAAAACAAAGTTGCCACCTGCACCTGCTCATTTTATTTTCACTGCCAACACAGGTATGAATTTCAATATTGATATCCGTAATGATTTGGAATTTTTCCGTAAATATTTTGATAATGAATTGATCAGCATTATTACAACCGAAACAAATTGATGCACGGAAGAGCGTGCTTGTAGATTGCATTCAAAACCATGCTGTTTTACTTCTCAAAATGAAATAAGAGTTTTTTGGAGAATAACTATTCTCTAAGGTGTTATAAAAAAACCACATCTGCAAGATTATTGGAGTAAAAATCAGTTGTTGAGTATGCCATTTTTTGCAAAAACAATGTCATACAGACGATTTTGCCAGATAAAGCAAAACTTGAATCAAAAATGATGCATATGATGCAAGTACACATCCTTGTCCGAAACTAAAGATATGGCCAGTCTGCAACAAATACTTGAGAAGTTTCAGAGTGCAATTATACCTGAACGAGATATAACAATAGATGAAAGTTTACTTCTTTATAAAGGAAGACTCGATTGGTTGCAGTATACATTCCTTTGAAGAGAGCGTGATTTGGAATAAAAAGTTTCTTACTGTGCGAATCTAAGATGGGTACGTGTGGAATGCCATCATATACAGTTGGAAGGGAACTAACTAATTTCGATAATTCATTCGATGATCTTCCTATGTCAGCCCGAGTTGTGATGAAACCACTGCTGGGCAAAGAATATTGTCTTACCACAGACAATTTTTATAACTCTCCAGGTTTGGCTGATATGTTAGTCAAAATTAAGACTGATGTGTGTGGAACACTCTGATTGAATGGAAAAGATTTACCTCAAGATCTAAAGACAAAGAAATTTAAAAAAGGAGAAATTATTGGGTATCGAAGAGAGAAAGTAACTGTAATGAAATGGAAAGATAAGAAGTATGTTAGTCTAATTTCCGCAATACATACAATCGAAATGCAGGATGTGACAAATAAACAGGGAGCGTCAAAGTCCAAGCCTAAAAGTGTAGTTGACTACAATGACAAAATGGGTGATGTAGTTTAAAGCCAATCAGTATTTAGCTGCTTATTCTACATCCAGAAAAAGAGAGAAAAAATATTATAAGAATATTTTCTTCCATTTATTTGATTTGGCTTTGTGGAATTCCTACATCGTGTACTGTAAAGCAGGAGGTTTACGATCACCTAAACAATTTCAGATGAAACTGATTGAAAAACTAATTTCAGAAAATCATCGTGATAAGTTTTCTGCCACACCAGGAAGACCCAGCATTAGTACTTCACCACTCGGGTTAACCTTAAAGCATTTTCCAGATGTTATTCCTGCTACTGAAAAAAAATCAAATCCAACCAGACAGTGTACTCTGTGCTCTTGTAAAAGAGATTCCAGAAGTAAGCCAGTAAGAAAAGAGACAAGATACCAGTGTACAGAATGTTAGGTATCACTTTGTGTTGTCCCTTGTTTAAAAAACTATCATACAAAGACTAATATTTAACTTTTTCCATTTTCTCGAGATAACTCAGGATAGTAAATTAATATTAAAACTAAATGCTTTTACACCTGTAAAAAATTAAAAATTCAACTTAAAACCTACATGTTTTATTTCGTTTCCTTGTATTTAATAATAAAATTTGATGATTTTTTGCAATTTTTTTCAAAAAAATTTATAAGGGAAGCGGTCAAATACAGAAGATATGTAACTGATAGAATATTTCTTACTTATTGAGAATGTAATCCGTTTTTTGAAATATGAAACCCTACCTTGTGACCTTCTTTTTTTCATATCTGCTTCTATTTGCATTAGTTTGTAATAATAATAAAATGCCCTTAGATGTAATTTAGTACCTTTAATAGTTGTATTGTTAAGTTTAATGATAAAGATTATTTTCTTAAGTAACACATAATTTTTTCATTTATTTTAGGTTCTTTCTCTAGCTATGACGTAATGACTGAAGAAAAGATAATTAAATTTGAAGCTTTCATAAACGACGTTTTAAGAGAACATTTGAAGCAAGAATTGTCTGAGAAAGAAAAACTTTGTCAAGAAGTAACAGAACTTGAGAAACTGAAAATAGTAATAGAGCGAATTAAAGAAACTCAACTTGATAAGCAAACTTTCAAGACCAGAGTTGATCTGGGATGTAATTTTTATGTCCAGGCTAATGTTACAGATACAAAGTTTATTTTTATAAAAACTGGACTAGATATTTTTGTACAGTTTACATTGGACGAAGCTCCTAAATTCATTGATAAGAAAATAGATTTTCTGAATAAGAAGATTGAGAGAAGTTTGAAACGTTGTGCAGAAATCAGTGCTCATATTCAGCTAGTTTTGCAAGCTCTCAGAGAATTGCAAAATTTGGATTATACTACAGAAACTCCTAGAAGAGAAGTTTTGTAAGATATTTATAATGATTTTCAGTGAAGGTAAATAAAGATTATATAATTCCAATATTTTTTTTTTCTTTTTCCCCAGGAAGTATAAACTAATCCTAATAAAAAAAAGGGGGGGTACAATTCCGTTTTGAGGACTGTAAAAAAATTGCAGGGAAAATGTATGTGCAAAAGCGTCTATTTAAAAGTGTGCCAAATCTAGTGTACGCGCTGATTTCAGATTACGCAAGTTCATATAGTTCTGTATTTCTTAAGATGCCATTGAAATACTAGTTTAATTTTTAAATCCTTTTTTGATATCCTTTGGATTTAACAATTTGGGAATTGCCCATAATGAAAAGTCTGCATAAGAATTTTGGGTAAAGTGCAGAATCACCCACTGCTTGATGCATTTTTAAGAATTGCACATACTCAGTATCCGTGTACACATCGACCTATTTTCACTTCAAAAAAAAAAAATCCCAGAATTGCACAAAAATGACACTGTGCACACCCATGACTTTATCTATGTACACATCGACCTAATTTCACTTAAAAAGTAAAAATTGACAAAAATCCAATTGTTTTTACCCTTGTAAAAAGCGGCAGACAAATTAAATTATAATAATGATCTGAAATAGTTATTTACTCTTATGCTTTCATTCAGTCATGTTTAGCGTTTTTTATATAAATTATAATAATAAAAAAGTATTATATGAACTTAACTTTTCATCTAAATTAAAACATCAATTTTAGGTAGTTATTTACTATTATACTTCCTTTCTTGCGTTAGGGTTGCCGCAATTATTTTTGGCAGCACTGGCATCAACAATAGTTTGGCGATTTTTTACGGCCCTCAAAACCAAATAGTACTAAAACAAGATTTAAGATGTGTGTATTGTTACTAACGTTGAAGAATTTTTTTAATCAAACCTGCAGTATGTAAGAAAATTTATTTATAAATGCATTTTATAAGTACTTAATATTACATGAAATGCTGTTGTTAATCTAAATGATATTGCATTTGCTTTTTTTTTCCCCAGTGATATTAGATGTAAATCACTATAAAAGTTTCAGTGCTGTATGTCATTTCACAATCATGTGCACCACCAGAACAGGGCATATAAAGTAGGGTATATGCTTGCAAATAATATTTGTAGCCATTGATTTGGATGCTCTATATGTTTTGAAATGTTTCTGTGTCAACTAAGACAACGGAATCCATGATGAAGTTACGTATATACTCCATGCCATGATGCTGAGGTAAGAAAGATGGCAATTTAACAGGCAGAATAACTATATATGCACCATGAGCAATTGAAGATGGTACTTGACTTATAGGCAAGAGTATTGCACTTATCTTGGACAACAAAGTGTGTGTCTGCCAAATTGCAGAATAGAAGAGATGTATCCCATGTAACGTACCCAGACATAAAACGTAAGACTAGTATTGGGGTGCACATGATTTATTGTATATGAAGAAATGCAGCAAATTCTGTAACTGTATGTGAATAATGTAATTTGTATATGTAGCATAATTGACTGTATGTAAGAGAATGAGTCTTGAAAATCCATATTCCATCATGTGAGTTGATGGCATGATCCTTGTTAGAACATACGTTTTCTTTCATGTGTTGTGCAAATAGTTTATATCGAAAGAAATCCAGACGTTGAGAGTTTTAAATGGTGCGATCATTGTAAATAACGAAGCATGGACATAATGGTCTAGCTGTCATTATTCTCATAATCCTGAGGCATAATTGCTGTTAGTTCTGTTCACATTAGAAGAAGGCTGTGCATAACCACCTCAAGGAAGTAAAGTTGTATATATAGTGAATATGCAGTTGATTCAGCAAAACTGTCGATTGAATGTCGATCCATGTTTGCTTAAGTGTGATTGGTTGGCTGTTAGCTAGATTCAACAATTAGAGCTTTTAGACAAAATCATTATATCAGTTTCCGTGGCATAGTAAGGTCTGGTTTTGTAGCAAAAGTGTGGCTTAAACCACTTGTGCTTCAGAGCCCTCATGCGAGAGCTTCATTAATTAACATTCCCGTTGAAGACAGATTTGGTCAATAAATTTGTGTCAGTTTGATGAAAATTCCAGTAAGTAAAAGTCCTATTGTTTCCAATTCTAACAATACGAGAATGCAGCCAGTTTACCATTGGTACTACCATAAAATCCTCTACTTGGATTTCTGTTATGTTGGGGTACAGTTACCGAAAATAATTGTCAAGATAAATTACAACCATTTGGCTGAAAAGCATACTTATAGGTAGCAATAGCTGGAATAGTGTGCTAAGTCATGTTATTATGCTGTTCATTGATTGGCATATATGTCAGTGTTTATGAGGTGTTTTTGATTACAGTGTTTATTTCCCCTCTTTTTTTTTATTGTTTTGTAGGTGGTATGCAGTACCATGTTTGATATAGTATTTTATTGATTGCTCTTCGAGGAAAGCTATAGCAGTTGTTTTAATTTAGTGCTAGGAACTCAGTTTTGCTTAGTTTTTGACCGTGTCTGATATATTTAGAATGCTAGTAAATGACAACAGATAACTACTTTAATGATACTTAATTGCAGTATAATTTCCTGCTTTGTGAGATTATCAGTTTGACTTATTTTTCTTTGAGAGATGCATTTAATAAAGTGACTTTTCTGTATTAATTAGCAAAGTACAATATTGCAAGTAACAATAAAAATTTCATAAAAAATTATTTACTGTATTAATTTTAATATATGATGAACTGAAAGAAAAATTAAAACCATTAGGATAATTTGTGGAAAAAGTAAATATCTTTTAGCATTACATTTTAATATAAAATGTATATTGTTAACGTAAGTATTTTGTGAATTGTGTAATATTGCTCTTTTTTTTTAGAAGGAGAACTTCTTTCTGTAGGTGATGTTAGTTCTGATAGTGACTCAGAAGTTGATATTCCAAAATATGAAATTTCTGCTTTCAAAAAATATCCTTCTAAAATTGGTGGACCTAGTCAGCCAAAAAAGAGTGATTTGTATCATAATAAAAGGTTTGTATATTTCTTCTCTTTTTTACCAGAATAGTTGAGAATATTTGTATCGATTAAGCTTATAATGATCATATTTCGTTTATTGAATGTTTATATAAGGTTGGTTTACAAATTCTTAAATTCTTCATTTTATATTGTGGGATTCTCACTTGTGTAATTTTCGGTTACTGTAGAAAGTGAAGAATCTTAAGAACAGTTAAGCAAATAATTGCTTGAGTTCGTGTGACAAGAAACAACAAGGTGAAAGGGTAACTAACCCTTTATTATTCAAATAAAATTTAACAGAATTCTGTCTTGGAGTGTACAATAAAAGCCGACACTTGGGTTTGAACTTAAGAGGCTAAGAAGTAAACTAAAACTAATTTAAACTAAAGAGATATAGCCGAAGCTATCAAAATTTTAATCCTTAAACACGTGTTAAGTTGGCTCCTTAAACACAAGATGACTGCGAAGCTATCAAGGACCTGAGTACGGCCGAGTGTAATAACAGCTTTGAGAGAGAGTAGCCAAAAGGCAGACATGCGCAAATCCTTAAACACGTGTTAAGCTGGCTTCTTAAACACAAGATGACTGCGAAGCTATCAAGGACCTGAGTACGGCCGAGTGTAATAACAGCTTTGAGAGAGAGAAGCCAAAAGGCAGACATGCGCAAATCCTTAAACACGTGTTAAGCTGGCTTCTTAAACACAAGATGACTGCGAAGCTATCAAGGACCTGAGTACGGCCGAGTGTAATAACAGCTTTGAGAGAGAGAAGCCAAAAGGCAGACATGCGCAAATCAGAAACTCCGATTCTGGCTAACTCAGCAAGTGGAACTTCATGGTTAAATACCGCTCTTCCTCATTATGTATTCAGAGTGATTCTAAAACTACATTCTGGCTGAAAGTAGTAAGTTGAAATTAAGAATCTGACAGGAAAGGAACTTTAAAATTTAACTGTTAATAAAGTTAACATAATCCTTACATAGCTTCCGACCAGACGTTAAATACTCGAAAAATAAGGTATCAAAACGACCTTGTTTAAGATTTTAAAGTCTGAAAACTTTCTACGTTAACTACATCCTTTTAACACTTTCATTCACTAAATTCACTTTAAATTCTGTTATTAGGGCCAACTTTACAACAATTCTAAAGCTAGACTAAAGCTCGAAAATTTTTAAAAAGAATTTTACAAATTTTCATCGGTTTTGGACACACACCAACTTCTTTTACTCCAACAGTTATTCTCCTGGTTTTAATCTTGGTCCTTCTATATCTGGAAGGAAACAGCATTAGTACAGAATTTTACAAAGATTTTCCATAACTCCTACAATTACGCTTTTATTTCCTCATCTGGCCCTTACGCACTTTCACTCATACTTAAACTTTTGTTTCCCCCATGCTCTCCAGTAATTTTTTTGAAATATAGTTGAGTACTTATGCTGTGTTACCACGAACAACACTACCGCTACACAGTATCTAACTTGGTTAATCTTGACACATTATACCTTATAAGACTCCCTACATGCATATACTTCCTAATGTACTAAGCAAAAGCTTAAATTTACTTTTAAAAGTGTTAATTGGAGAGAACATTAAACACACGTATATACTGAACATTCAATTCTTTCACAATTCAATTACACAGGCGCCAAAATTTATCTTTTGTACAAGTTTACGAAATTTCAACACAGAAATTAAAACATTTCTATTTTAACAAAAGCAATTAGATATTTACACATCATTTTTAAATTCACTTTACATCAACAGTCATAGTTGCTTAGTTACAACTTATCATCTTTACACGAAATCTTAACTTTAAGTTAACAGATTTCAATATTCCAAGAGTCTTTTCGACTAAACATATTCACAATTTAATTCTCGCAACTTGCAAGTTCTTAACAAAAATTATTACTGCTAGTAGCTTCTCGCCAAATTGCAAACATAAAAATCTATGATTACAAACTATTTACAATTAAATTCTCACTATCTGCAATTTAACTTTTCTAAACCTCTTTAGCAGCTTAGAACAAAATGATATAAATTGAAATTGTAAAAAATTGTGATATAAATTGAAAATGTTTTCAAAGTAAAATAAGCAAGAAAATTTTCACTTATCTTTTTCTGTATTCCTCCATTCTGATGTGGCAAAATTGTTCAAATGTTGGAAACCTCATGACTTCCACCCTCCTTCTAGATGTTTGGTGCTCCGCGCTGTTCGCGTCATTTCTTTTCCTCTTCTGCTTCTTATCTGGGAATCTGGGAGCCTTGTGGGCTGGCTGTGGGTTTTGGAACTGGAGTTTCCTCTTCAAAGCTCTGGTGGAGCCAGTCGTCTTTCAGGGTCTTTAAACTTTCGCTTGGACCTCCTAACTTCTTGGTCAAGCACGGCTGTCTCCGCAGGTCTTTTCTCGCTTTTTGTTCTCCATTCTGGACCTCCCTTGTAGTTGTTGCCGCTTGAAACTGTGGTTTACGTCTCATAGATTCCGCCTGTCATTGAAATTTCTACTTGACTGGAACCTTGTCAGCAGGCCTCACTCTCTTTAGCCGGTGGTACTGGTGTTTTTTGTCGACTCCTCGGTTCTGGCTGTTTGATCTGTCGGTGCTGCCCTCCTCCGTTTTCGTGTACCTGCACCTCCAATTATCTGAACTGCTTTCAGAATTTAAGAAATAATTAAGACTGAAATGTACTGCAATTTGCAAAATAATGATTCTGTCTATGTTGCTTTTGTTCTTCCCTCCGTGAAGCTAGTGCAGGTGCAGCATGAACATTATTGGGATGATGAGTTGCCGTCTCATAGTGCAGCTCTATTAGTGGCTACAGTACTGGTACAGGTGGCCGGCCCAGACCATCTGTCACTGTTTGTTTTGATTAGTAGTCAGTCAGTGTGTCATGTACCTGCTACATTACTGTGAAGGTTCTCTTTTGTGTAGGTACGTTGTTTTGTTCGTGAGTGCGATTTGTTGTTTTGTTAGTGAGTACGGTTTCATTGTTTTGTTAAGTGAGTGCATTTTGTCGTTCACCATGGCTTCTAAAAGAAAATGTGTTGTGCTATCGTTAGTGAATAAACTAAACATTTTAGAGCAGTCAGATAAAGGAGTTAACGGGTAAACAGGAGGTTGAGATGTACGGACAATTAACAATTTCAGATTTTAAAAGGAGCAAATGGTGTGTGGTTCGTCAGGGATGGTGTGTGATTCATCATACTCTGGGTTTCAAATTCTAAATGATGATGAACTTATTGAAAGTGTTGAGGAAGAAGATGACCTTAATGTCGAAGTTGAAACAGATGCAGGACCATCATCTAGTGAAGCGTTTGTTGGCTTTGGAACTGTGTTGAAGTGGATGAGGGAACATTAGCCCGAGTGTTACCATATGTAACCTTCTCATTATCAAGTGGGTGCACAATTTGGCTGCTCAAAAATGGATAAAGACAGTCAAACAGCTTACTTTGACCAAGATGTTCAGCAACCAATGAATCTCAGCACTTGTAAGTACTGTACAGTGCACTATATAACATGTACGTAAAAGTGTTGCCTTTTTATTTTATTAATTAAAACTTCTTTTTCTTTAAAAATAGTTTTTCCTCCCATCTTCAACATACAGTAATTAATTAAAGAGTACATTGACCCTTTCTTCAGAAAAATCCAATTATCTGAATTTTTGATTATCCAAATAGGGTCTGGTCCCAATTGATTCAAATACTGAATTCTACTGTAGTAAGATAGATAGAAATTGCAGATCTTAAAGCTTTTATTGATCTCTTCATGTTAGCAGGTTAGAAAATGTAACTTAATCGCCACCATTTCGTGCAGAGCTGAAATTAAAAATATAAGTTTTAATATAAGTTGGTAGCAGTAAACTGCTTGTGGAGAGAACTTTGTAATTAAAGGCTGAACCTACCTAACAGAACTAGCTGTCTTTTTAATGAAATCAATATTAATACAACATTAAATTCAGTTTATCAGATATTGTCTTTAAGCAAATTAGTTTCAGCCACCAGTGGCTGAGCAATAAAGTCACTGAACACTGTTAGTTCAATCAGAATTCAGATTCCAGGAAATAGGCTGTCTGCATGAAATATAAATCTGATCTCAGTTGCATTAAAATTTGTAATTATATTGCTAAGAGCCTGGAATAACTTCCCTGCTACTTTCCTTTTCCAATGGGCCTGTGTTCAAATCCCAGGGAAGGCATGGATGTTTGTAAGTGTATAGTGTCTGTGTGACAGGGGTACTCAAAATCCATGGCAAGTCTTCTTGAGAGGTTGTGGTAGGGGAAGAGGGGGGAAGAACCTTGGATCATCCCCTGGGGTCATTTCCCTCAAAATTGGGGGTAGAATTGCATGGTTAATGCTGTAGGATTGTACCTGTGTGATCAGTGGTGAAATTCTGGTATCTCACCATCTCCTACCTGTACCTGTTAACAATTCTTTCTGTATTTATATTAATTTACTATCTTGTTTGTGTACTCTTTCTATATGGTTGCTTTAATAATGTTTAATTCTGATATTAATCTAACTTATATTCTATATTTACTCATAATTAAATTTTATTAGCTGTGCCTAATTAATCAGTTTTTTAATTAAGCATGTACCTAACATGCTTAATTTAAATGTACCTAACATGCTTAATACTAAAATTTTGTTGTGAGCGCTAATGTACATTTAAATTTTTATTACTTTCTCTTACTAATTGGAAATATATCCAAATTGGTATTATTTGTACTGATGTGTGCTTCATAAATCAATTTGTATTCCTCTTTTAGTATATTTTATTTAAGGCATTATTTGAGTTAATGTATTCCTCTGAGCACCATTTTGTATTAAATTTTATTTGTCATGATATTTTAGTATTAAATCCATTGCAATGAGTTTCAAATTTTTTTTACATATGTATTAAGGACATATCCAGTATGGAAATATTGCAATTGATATACCAGATAACACTGCTACCTCATTAAGATTATTATTATTTTGCTGTACACTAATTTTTGCATAAAAATATTTTTAGTTTTATTTTAAGCATGCATTTAAGTATCATCCCATATTTTTTAGTCATGTAGTTTAAGCATGCATTTTCCCATATTTTTTGCAATTTTTGTACAAGCCTGCAACAGTTTTCTTTTATTTCATTCCAGTAATGATGTGTTACTTTGTTTTTATGTATATTTTAACGATTCAATTGTGGTTATTTGCTTAGCTTGTACAGTAAGACCCCGCTTAACGCTGTTTCGTTTAGCGCTGTTTCAGTATAGCGCTCTTTTATTTCAACCCGGGGATTCCACGAAATCGCTCACAGCATACGGGGATTCCCTGAAATATTATGCAGCGATAGGTTTCAAATACATATCCGAAAGAGTGTACTTGTATTTCTTGTTTGGTGCGGTATTGTACAGACATATTTTGAAGGGGTAAATGTGGAAGATGTTGAAGAAATAATTCAAGAAGCAGCGGCTAGTCTTTCTAATGATGAGCTCAAGGAATTAACTGAACAAGAAGAAAACAAAAATGTTGACAGCAGTGATTCAGAAGAAGAGCAAAAAGAACTTTCGATGGCGTTTGTAAAAAGGAGTTTGTCTACCATAACTGAAATAATGGATCAGTTCATTGAAAATGATCCGAATTTTGACAGGAGCTCAAAAGTAAGGCGTGGTGTTAGAGATGCTCTATCCGTTTATGAAGAACTTTTAAGAGAACAACGCAAAAGAAAAAGGCAAACAACATTAGATGCTTTTGTCACAAAAAGGCAGAACACTGAAAACGCGGAAGGCTAACTAAATATGACTGACTGAGAATTTTATTTGTTTTTTTTAAGAATATTTCATTTTGTTATTTATATTTTGTTTTTATTTTTGCAAGAAATAATAATGTGGTATTAATTTGGGCTTTAAGAAATAAATGTTTGGTTTTATTTTTATTAAAAAAACATACTTTTTAAATTTAATACCTAACCAATTTCCTAGCCATCTTCCCCTAACCCCAATATTGACATGTAAAGATAGCCCTGTTTCGCATTACGCTCTACTTTGATGGAACGTATCCCCCGCGTTAAGCGGGGTCTTACTGTACATACTTCTCCCTGTAAATAATCTCGCAATCTCCTCAAATGTCTCCAATTTTTTTTAATGTTATTTTTCTTATATTCTCATTTCTTTTCTCCTACCTCACTTCCTTCTACAAGATTCATTCAGCTTCAAAATTGAACTTTCATGTCTCACAAAAACATAGGTAAATTTGTCTTCTTACAATTAAATAAACTTTATTTTAGTGTTAAATGACACTCGCAGGGAGCAAATTGTGCAGCTTGGCCAACATTCTAATTCAACCTAGTGGATGGTTGTCCTGTTATTGATGTAAAACAAAAGTGTTTAGAGAGCTTTATCATAAACCTGTTACTGTTTTTAAGGTAGGAAAGAGAAATAACCAAATTAAAAATCAGTCTTAAGGTGCTGATTACAAATTAGAACTTTATTTTACATCTCCTTTACCTGACCCACATGCATACACACCGAGAATATCAAGAATTATATCAAGAGGATTGTGAATTATTGAAACATTAAAAAAAAAGTGGCAACTGAGAAATGTAATTAAAATCAAGTACTTTGAATGTACAACAAAGTAAAATTTTTTTAAAATATGATTTCAGTTAATTAATCATTGTATAATTTTTGATGTAATCCTAAAATAAATATTTGAAATAAATATATGAAAAAGAAGAATAAACATTAAGATTATTTGAGTTCGAAACCAGTAAAAAACTGGAGAACTGAAAGCAATGCACTAAATAAATTTTTAACTGAAAAATAAGCTCTAGTGCTAAAAAAAATTTGTAAACCAGAAGAAACATGGGAAATCAAAAGTAAAATATTAAAAAAAATTAAGGAAATTAACTATAAGGCAGTTAATTGATTAAAAAGAAATGTAATAAAAGTGAAAAATAATAAAAATGAAAAAAAAAATTAAATAAAAATTCCCCCTTTTTATTGTCTAATTTTGATTTAATTTTTATCTCTTGATTATATATGTACTATATAAAAGATGAAAGCAAAATTTTAGGTATATATATATATATATATATATATAATATATATATATACACTGCTCGACATTGAAAATGCAACACCAAGAAGGAGTGGTCAGAAAGTGATGAAATTTGGAAAAAAGACAGAGACAGCAAGCAGCAATAAGTGATCTTTATTTCAAAATGATAGTCAGAATACAGGCGTCGGCTCAGTAGGATGTAGAAAAACCGCGAACAGCGATGTACGAAGAAACACGTCTAGGCATAGAGTCAATAAGAGTGCGGATGGTGTCCTGAGGAATGGCTCTCCATTCCCTTTCAACCTTTTGCTACAGTTTGTCTTCTGAAAGAGGCAGGGGCAGAGTCTGCAAACGGCGTCCAATAACATCCCACACATGTTCGATTGGTGACAGATCTGGAAAGTATGATGGCCAGGGAAGCATCTGTATACCTTGCAGAGCATGTTGTCAGATGTGAGCACTGTGTGGTCGGCCGTTATCCTGCTGAAAAATTGCATTAGGCTGCCTCTTAAGGTAGGTGATTGCCACCAGCCGCAGTACATTATCCAAGTAACATAGTGCCCTGAATACGAACTAAAGGTGACCAGGAATCGTAGGCAATAGCGCCCCAAACCATTATGCCACGTTGTCGCGCGGTGGGGCATTCCACAGTTACTGCCGGATTAGATCTGTTTTAGTCGACACCGCACACGTATGCGCTGACTGTCACTGGATAAACAAAAGCGTGACTCATCTGAGAACATGATGTTTTACCATTCTGTCATCCACATCGCTCCAGTCCGGCACCATTCTAAACGTTGGCGTCTATGCTGTGGGGTCAATGGCAGTCTACTTAACGGACGCCATGAGTGCATGCCACATTCAACCAATCGACGGGAAATGGTTCTGGTCGACACAGGAACATCCAGGGTATCTTGCATATGCTGTAGAATCGCGGTACAAGTGACTTGCAGAGCCACCACAGATGGTCGGCGGATGCGTCGATCCACACGGGCTAACATCACTCTGGCTGCACCTGCACCTCTCCTTCTTTCCACGTTTCCTTGTTCCAACCATGTTCGCCATAGCCGATGTACCGTGCTCTCATCCATGTGAGTATCAGCTGCGATTTGATGTAAGGACCAACCCACCCTTCTCAGTCCGATCACCATACCACTCGGAAAATTGTCTATCTGCTGAAAGTGCCTTCGTTGACAGCGACCTGGCATTCTCTCCTATTACACGTATCCTCCGGGACAAAAACCAACTTTTCGATAATTCGTCTGGCAGAAATAACGACACAAATATTGCCCATTCTGCATGTTCCTTCCCTTATATCTTACTTCACATGCATCGGAGAGCTGTGTATTTCACATCATTTTTCATAACTCAATGATGTGCGTCTACTCTAAAATTTGCATAAATTTCTGACCACTCCTTCTTGGTGTTGCATTTTCAATGTCGAGCAGTGTGAAAAGAGAAGTCCTGAGGACATTGTCATATTTGAATTTGCTGTATTATATCTGTTGCATTAAAATATCATGTATTTTTTAAGACACATTTGTAAGTTATTAATCTGAAATCTTCTAACAGCATTAAACTTGCCTCATCACTGAACCCAGGACTGGACTGTAGTAAAGGCAATTATCTCAATGTTGACTTGGCAAATGTAAGTCTAAAAGATCAAGTGAAGAGGGAAAAGAAAAATCTGCAAAAAATTTTGGATGCGGTAAATTTCATGCTTATTTGAAAATAGAAAATTGTATTTAAGATAGTTCTCTTAATAGTAAATTTTAAATTAGTTTTATTTAGTAAGCGGGCTTAAAATTTTGTGAGTCATTAATTTAAAATAAGAATATAAATATCTTCTGTAATTCTTCATCGATTTGTTGCTGGTACAGTTCATCAAAGTATTTTTCTTTGTGTCATAATTTTCAGTATATTTTACAATGATATCCATTTTTTGAATGCAGTACATTGGAACTTACTAAAAACAAAAATATTATCAATTACATATTACTTATCAGAATTCATATGGTCCTTAAAAATGCTGATTTTTTTAAAATTTTGGATTTATAAATGTCCTTGCTTTTGCTCATCTGACATTGCTGTTTCTTTTCTGTTGCTGCCATTTGTATGATTTAACGTTTTGACTGAATATGGGATTTAAACCATCTCGTTCTTAATGGAGTCATCACACTTATAAAGAAAGGGAACAATCAGAATGAAATTTTTGAGGTGTTTATGAAATTTTTGGGCTGAAGTTTTTCATGTAACATTGGCAGACAAAATAGGTGCTATCAAGTTAGCAAGAATATTATTTGTGTGCACTGGTAAAAAAAGAGTACTTGGGCTTTGAGTTTGACCATGCGGCTATTTTAATACATTATGATGAAAGTTTGGCCTTCGAGAAGGTCAAAGAGTGGTTTTGGTGAAAGTCGTGCTACCAACTACTATTATCATTGAATCAAAAATTCTTCAAGAGTATAGGTAAAAGACATGAATAGAGCACTTGAAAAGGAAGGGACAAATTCTAAATCTGTTTATGGGTATTAGAAAAATAAAATTCTGATTAAGGCTACATTCTTGTGAAATCAGTTTTAACTACGCCAATTTCAGGACTACAGTACACCTCTTCCAGCTTTTATAAATTTTTCATAATTTTTACAAAAATTGTACTAATTTGACAGTCTTGCATGAAATTAATATTTTATGAATTTTCAATTTTTATAAAAGCACCAAAAATGTGCTGCTTTGGCAATGCAAAATTTGTATTTAATCTGTATACTCTTGGCAGACTTTCAGGTTACCATTTGCTTTCGTTCCTGTTTATTTATTAAATGAAAAAAAATGCTTTATTCCTTTTGGTAACATGAATTATTTTGTTGTGCGTCGCTAAATTTGGTGATTTATCAATATTTAGTGTAATATAATTTTTGATTTGGAGTTTTGTAAATTTTATGATGACTTCCTCTTTTTTTTTTTTTTTTTTTTTTTTTTTTTTTTTTTTTTTTTTTCAAATTTAATAACATTGTTAAAATATCATTAAAATAATGTATACAGTACAAAGTCCAAAATCCAGACGTCCATTATCCGGAATGATCTAAAATCCGGATCTCAAAGCCACTTTTTTTTTTTTTTTTTTTTTTTAATGCTTTACGCATGTGCATTTGATTTTTCCTTCCATAATAAAACGTGTGAAGATTTTTGCTTCAAAATTCCGATTCTTAATTTCACTTAGGCACTAAATAAAATACCTCATTATGGAAAATAATCATGTAAGCATAAATTTGTGAGATTAATAATTTGGCTCTGTAGTTGAGTATCTGCTTGGCATACACCTGAAACCAAACATTCACCTATTTTAATACCCTGACCCTGACCTGGTGTGTCATTATTTATTATATTTTGCTTTCATCACTGCATGTTTATCAATACATGACAGCTTCAGTAATAACTCATGCAGTGATGTTTAAAATTTTTCTATGTTAGTAACTGAATAGCAGGAGTATGGCAACCTTTTATGCTAACATTACACTTAGTGGTGATTATAGATTTTTATATGCTCTAAGAAATGTTGACGAAGAACAATCCAAAAATTTCTTTTCATATGCTAAAAATAGATTTTGTTAATGAAACTCATAGGTCAAAAGATTACATTTAGGGCTATTTTAATTAAGAACTGATATGTTATTCACCATAAACCCAGAAGCGGCGGTAAAATATGTCGGCACCGAATGGCAGAATTTAGGGAAGATGAAATTTTTGGAATTTGGGGAAGCACCGAGCGGCAAAATTAAGGGATGAGAAATTTTTTATGATTTAGGGAAAGCACCTGGGATCCAAAGTTTAGGCGTGCTGAAAATTTAGAACTTAGGAAAGTACTTAGTGTTGGAATCTATCGATAGATTCCAATACACTTTGGTCAATTCAAATTGTTTTCAGATATGAATGTATCAAGAATCTCCAACAGCTCCTGAGCTTTTGCTCCTGCACTAGTATTTTTACAAAACAGGTCTTTAACATTATTACCTTCTATAAACGTGCATAGTAATCAAACAAGCATCTTTATGATTATTGGTAATCTCTTGTAGCTGCAATCCAAATTCCACTCCTTTAAATTTTCAATTAATTATATATCAGTATCCTCTGCCATATGTTGTTTTCTTCCACTGATTGTGTTATTGCACAAAGGCACTTTTAAAAGCAACTTTACAACAGACACACTGACTATTATGTTTACCATATCTACAGCATCTGGTAGACTAAGTTCTTTTGCGATGGCACGAAGATTCTTATTATTATGATTCTGTAAGCCACTTTATAAGATGTTAGCAAAGCATTGTGTAGTATTGATGCAATCTTAAAAAATGAATTTTAACTTGTTTTAGTTTTTAACTCCGTGGGAAACAAACCATGCCGTGGTGATAAGCTTTCTGTACTATAAATGTTTAGTACTGTTCAAAAATAAGTCTATAATCAAAGATAATGGTGGAAAAAATAACAAAACTATTTATCAGAAACAACTAACAAGAAGTAATATAACACTATCTGTACTACATGAAATAACTTGTATCACAGTTTATTTATGAAGTGCTGAGTTTAATTTCACTACACTTATGGATTATAAAACAACTGATTGAAGTACATCAAGTGAGATGCCAACACTTGCGTATATTTTTCGCAAGATCTTCCAGGACAGTCCATAATCTGTCATGAAGGGTTTATACACGTCTTCATTTCTATACTACCAGTCAAGCTAACTTGAGAATGCTAGATATAGTAGAAAGTGTATGAACCCACTGCAGAATATACTTATACTGTCTTGAGATGTCATATTGTGATATATGTGTGGTTGAGTTTAGCTATATTTATATTTATATTAAATATAAATATATAATATTTTAATATGTATAAATATAAATATACATATTTATATTAAATATAAATATAGTTGAGCAAAGAGAATTAAATGGAAAAAGTGGGCACAATGATAGACTACATTGCATTTATTTTTTATTAAAAAGTTTGCTAATATTTCAGTCATTTGATGATCAGTAGATTAATAGGAAGCCACCCCCTTTTTTAGCATTGTTATTGAAATTGCAAATTCTAGCAACCCTTTCTTGATAAGAAAAGTTATTAAATCATTCATTCATTCACTGACAGTGAGTTCTCCCCATTGTTGGTGAATATTTACCTTCTTGCTACATATTCCTCGATTTTCACGGGCAAAGTTTGTGCAGCACACTCTTTTCCTGTTTATAGTTTCATTTCGGCTTTTCTGTGATGTTTATTTTAATCTGGGTTAACAAATGGCATTAATTGCCCATATTTCTGTAAAATATACAAGTATGTTTTGCACTCTCTTTTTAAAGCTCAGAGACAGGAAATATTTCGTGCGTGATATATTCTACATTCCTGACAATATTTCTTACACTGATAGCAGTTCTGACTTTGATTTCAAGTATATTATATAGAAACTGGGGAGAATTTCTTGGATTCCTCTGCAGATAGTGATGAAGCTGAAGACTCATTTACTATTCAAAACGTTTGACATTGGTGCAGAATTGGGTACTGTTCTGTTATCAGGACTGTGTCTCCAGAAATTGTATGTATGTATAGATGTATGTGTTCAAGTGCATGTATATATTTACATGTATATCTGTGTGTATATGCACACATACATACACTTCTGAATCCAGTCCTGATAACAGAAAAGTACCCAAAATTGATAGGCAAAATATTCTACCAGCTAACTTTTATGGCTGTACTTTAGGTAGTGTAATAGAGGAGTTCTTGTGAAACATAAATGAAGTAAAATGTAGTAATTTCTACTTTAAGCCCTAAACTGCCGCGGGTGTATATATACGCCTCGCTTAGCTGATGCATTAAGAGGTTATCACACATGCGTCTAGCAGGGGTTACAGTCCCTGCTAGACAGGACTTTTCTGAGAAACGAGATTCGGGTAGCATTTGTTTAAACACGAGGATTCCTAGAAAAAAGAGCCCCGCCTGAAGCGAAGTCCCGCCTAGCTACGGATACGATGTTGCGTCTACGCAGGATTTTTTTCAAACCTTACCGAAAATGTCCCGGGTAGAGACAACCAATCAGACGAAAGTTCTGCTTTTGAAGGATCACGTTATCCCAATCTGAGTGATAATCGATTACTGTTTGGCGTTCAAGTCTTTGTAGTAAGTGAGAATGGTAACCTATCTACGTGTGTTTCCCGGAAATGTGTGAGTTCTGAGAATTGTCCCTTTCGATGTCAAGTCCCGCGTAGCCGAAACATAATGTGATTGGGACATAAACTGCCCCGGGTGCATATATACACTTCTGAAATACTATCATTTGCTTTGCACTGTTACCAGTAAAATTATTCACAAAGCTTTGGAATGCAACATCACAATGACCTTGACAGAGTATGCGAAGGAGGATACTATTTCAGGAAAAGGGGGAGGAGTTGGAGAGGGGAATGTTTCTGAAACAGTGAAAAATGTAATTATGTGGTTATTGCTCGTGTTTTAATAATTTTTTTTTTTTTTTTAATTCTGGATCTTCCGTTTTCGTTACTGTTTGTAATAGGTGCTATTTTATGACTATGTCGATAGTGATTGGTTTTTGATGAACTGCTCATGCTTCATATTGTTCCTGAAACTAACTGTTTTGCACACCAGTATATCCTGCAAAAGAAAAGTCAAGAATAAAATCGTGGCATCTAACCAATT